GTTAGCTTTGGCATTATGAATGGTGATTGTAAAGTTTTAAACAACAACGTTCTAAATTTTAGCAAACTACCTTTAACTAAGTCCCCAAGGGACTTCGAAGATTAATATTTCGAAGCATCTAAAAACGAGCGCTTGTACTAAATTCTATTTATTGCGATTAGCCTTCGTTCAAAATTTTGAAGAAACCCTTCATACGAAAGATGAAAAACAAGCTTTAAATTGAGCCCAAAACGAAACTATATGGTAGTTTATTTTACGATAGAAATAAAGATATTTAGGACGACTCCGTTTTTTCTGATACACCCTGTATACACACCCTGCATGACTTTACACTTTACACTAGGAAGTTTACTAGTTATAAACTAAATATGGGATTCAATAACCTGGGTGTTTTTTGTGGTTTTGATCTATCGCATTGGTTCTTGCGAAAGTGAAAAATATTCTAGCAGTAACAATTATTCTGGAGTAAAATTCACAAACTTTTGTGAGCTCATTTTTGCTATTGTTGCTTTTTAATGTTAATTAATATATTCCGAACCAAATTATTTAGGTAGTGGTCTTGGAGGATAGTAGAGCCTTGAAGAACATTCCAGCAGTCAGTGGACTCTTAGCGTTTCGCAAAGATAATCAGTCGTTACATGTTAGAAGAAACGACACCTGGAATACTGTGGCTATAGAACAAAACGTAAGTAAATTAGGCTGATAAGTAATGTAATTTTTTCACATATTATTCATTACAAACATTGTTTTATCCCGCCTCAATGTCACCTTTCTGTTAGGTGAATTTTACGTGAAATATCAGACCTCTTAGTAATTTCGACTTCCTTTTCTAGCCGGGAATATAAGCTCGACTTGCATATTCCATCAATTTAGCAACAGGCAACAGCCCGCATTTGCAGATTTGGGTGGGTACTACCACTACAATTCCTTTCACTTTGGCTTGCTTTAAATAGGGTTTCATTGCGTACAGCTTCATTATGAAAGCAATTGCCATGGCAAGGGATTCCCTCGAAATATTTAAGTGATACTTTGTGAAACAGAAGCGCGGCTGAATCGCTTCTGATTTGTTTGGTTCGTGACGAGAGTAATGATATACCTTTCAATTATTAAGATCATATACAAGTACTGTACGCTATATATACGTCTAAAGCCAACATAGTTCCTAGTCCATCAATCACCATGAAATACAGAAAAAGTCTAATCAGGTTGCTAAGGAGATAGGGACAACGGGGATGACCTGTTATTGGCGTAATGGCGATAAGGCGAATTCGAATAAAATAAGATTAACGTCTTTGCCTTTCCTGAGCAGTCCGGAACTCAATAACTCAATGTTGTTGTAGCGCCGTATTTTTTAATCTTTTTCTTTTCTCCTTCTACACTCTTCTCGTCTTCTTTTCTCGCAGCGTTTAAGGTTTTCAATTACAACATTGTGCTACATGCAGGTCTTTGTATTAATTGACAATCTTAAACATCAATCCGTCTCAAAGACTGATGGCTTAAAATGATGATTATATGGTAAACGTCTTATAACAATGGATACTGACATGTGAATGAGGAAAAATCCATTGCTTTCCTACCCCATAGCTACCTACCAATTGAGCGAGGGACAATTTACATACTGAACCGAATGGCACGCTATCTAGAATCCACATTTCCAAACTGACTAAATGCAAAAGACCCGCCCCTGTGTTCAAGGTGTGACCAATTGAAAAGCTATGAGAATCATAGAATCAATCATCAATATATTTAATATAGATTTTAAATACTTATTAATAATTCATAAACCTTGTTGACAAATCATGTCAGTCATAATATTTCACGTTGAGTTACTTTATATCTGATAAAACACATATGTGGCATTATATAATTGCTCATCCTAATTAGTATTGTTATACAAAGAATCGGCTACTCCGTGGTGAGAAGGCCCTCGCATCGGCTAGAATTTTACACCACAAATTTGGCGGTGTAAATAAATTAAGACCACTTAATTTCAATGCGCGAAATTGATTTGCGCCTCAAAATGTTCTATACTTGCTGCTCCAAGACAAGATAAATTTTATATATTTTTAATCCTCGAGAAATAAGCTATCGGAAAATGTTTGAGTCAAGTTTATACGATCAGAAGTTTAGAAGTTTAGACGTTAGGAGACATTTTGGCAGCCACTTGACTAAAACTTAATTGTTTACAACATGACAAAAAGATTACAAATCTAATGTAAGCTCATCCAATTGTTTTCTAGAGACTTCGTTCACTTATCTTTCAAAATAAAATGTTCTAAGGATTTCAAAAAAAAATATATAATGTGTTAAGATGGAAAATATATTTTTAAATGAAGAAAAGTGAATGGCCTTTGCACGTCAGTCTCGCATCATGATCAGTCGAGACACATTAAATATCAGACTGTACGTAGCCATCAAATTTCGTCGGGAAACTTAACTTGGTGAAAACTTGCTCAAACCTTTACATATATTATATAATCTGTATCGCTATACAAGCAGGAGTTTAAAAATGTTTGAATGAAGTACTGTATATTGGCTGAGTATTTTAAAAATTATCCAAAGTTTAGTACAGTACTGTTTTTTGCTATATTATGCTATGCTGTCATATGTCTCATATGTATTAAAATATTTTTAAATTCTCATTACAAAACTTTATATCATTTTTAAGATTTGAAATCTTTTTGTTATGTTGTAAACAATAAAATTTTAGTCAAGCGGCTGCCAAATGACTTCTAAATTTCTGATCGTGTAAACTTGATTCATCCTCGAGGATTAAACATATATAAAATTTACCTTGTCTTGGAGTAACAAGTATAGGAAATTTTGAAGAATAAATCAATTTTGCGCATTGAAATTAAGTGGTTTAATTTATTTACACCGCAAAATTTGTGGTGTAGGCCTAATTAAAAATTCTAGCCGATGCCAAGGCCTTCCCAGCACAAAGGCCCTGGGGACGAGGTTGTCGACTGCGCCTCGTGTTTTAGATAGTACATAAGGTCAAACCTAAATAAAATAACCACAAACGGGAATTACACTCCACTATCCAAGATTCTGCGACATCGTATAGGAAGATTTAGTTCATCCATGAATGAATTTTAATAATCGTTCATATTTAACTAGAAAATACATGCATGCAGAAACCCTCGCCTTGGTGACAAATTACCATTATATTTTCCGAACATAAAGTATCTAAAGTAGTTGTTATGGTAACACGATAATTTTTTAAGAATATTCTTAGAAATGAAAAATCGCCTAAAAATATCACTTTTAATTACAAAATTATCAATTTCACAACATATATATGTTAGGTATGATATTATACGTAATATAAGCTTCAATTTAAGGTAAAATTCAACCACAAACACTTCGCAAAACGTTTTAAAGTGTTCTTTATAAAACTGTAAAACTGCCTTTAATTAAATGGCTTTATCGATAAACTTTGAGTTGGCAATAAAATGATTTCAAATTCTCGCATGCAAATAACTTTGCTTTCTTTTTTATTTATTTATTTAAAAAATTCAAGATAATAAAAAAGGGAATCAATATTAAAGATACAATGAAATTATATGCTGTCTTGTTTAGTTGTTTCATATACGCAAAGGCCGTCGGGTTTTAAAGCAATTATAAAATCAATATTTAAAACAAACTTACCTTCGTTAACGTCGGCTCCCTTCTTTTAGCCGATTCTTTCGCCCTTTCTTTCTTGAAATTTACAAAATCTTGCAAAAATGCGAGCAACAATGAAATATATTTGCAAGAAATTTATCAATCATCAAATCAAGAAATGTTTGCTATTTCGCTGTCGTCATGCAGTCGTTATAATGCAAACTTTAAATTGGACAAATCACAGTGTTTGCTATTCATGACAGTCAGTCACATTTTTGAGATCAGTGAGGATGACCACCCACGCACAGTGACCCACGCCCGCGATATTTGATGAAATTTAGACTTCGCTAATGCTTTCGTTTCCCCTGGTGTAAATAGCCGGGAGGATTAGTATCCTCGCACGGCGCTTCGCGCCGTCGGCTCGGGCATCATATAAT